CACGATGTCAGGAGTTCAAGACCAGCATGACCAACATGGTGAAACCCTGTCTTTACTAAAGAATACAAAAATTAGCCGGGTGTAGCCAGGTGCAGCGGCTCACACCTGTAATCCAGCACTTTGGGAGGCCAAGGCGGGCGGATCACAAGGTCAGGAGATCGAGACCATCCTGGCTAACACAGTGAAACCCCATCTCTACTAAAAATACAAAAAATTAGCTGGGCATGGCAGGGTCCACCTGTAGTCCCAGCTGCTCAGGAGGCTGAGGCAGGAGAATGGTGTGAACCTGGGAGGCGGAGCTTGCAGTGAGCTGAGATCCTGCCACTACACTCCAGCCTGGGCGACAGAGCGAGACTCTGTTTCAAAAAAAAAAATTAGCCGAGCGTGGTGGCACCTGCCTATAATCCCAGCCTCTCAGGAGGCTGAGGCCGGAGAATCGCTTGAACCCGGGAGGCAGAGGTTGCAGGGAGCCAAGATCGCACCACTGCACTCCAGCTTGGCAACAGAGCGAGACGCTATCTCAAAAAGAAAGAAAAATCAGTAGCATGTCTATATACCAATAATGTTCAAGCTGAGGACCAAATCAAGAACACAATCCCATTTACAACAGACACACACACACACACACACACAATACCTAGAAATATCTCTACCCAAGGATATGAAAGATGTCTAGGAGAATTGCAAAATTCTGCTAAAAGAAATCATAGATAACGTGAACAAATGGAAAAACATTCCATGCTCATGGATTGGAAGAATTTAAACTGCTAAAATAGGCATACTGCCCAAATCAATCTACAGATTTAATACTATTCCTATCAAACTACCAATGTCATTTTCCACAGAAATGGAAAAAATTATTCTTACCTTCATATGGAATCATAAAAGAGCCTGAATAGTCAAAACAATCCAAAGATAAATGAACAAATCTAGAGGCATCATGTTACCCAATTTCAAGCTACACTCTAAGGCTACCATAACCCAAACAACATGATATTGGTACAAAAATAGACACATCGCCAATGGAACAGAATAGAGAACTTAAAGCTGCACAACCACAGCCATCTAATGTTTGACGAAGTGGACAAAAATAAGCAACGAGGAAAGGACTCCTGATACAGTTTGGCTGTATTCCGTCACAAATCTCATCTTGAATTGTAGCTCCTATAATCCCCACATATCATGGCAGGGAAATGGTGGGAAGTAACTGAATCATATGGACGAGTTGTTCCGGTTCTGCTCTTGTGATAGTGAATAAGACTGACAAGAGCTGATGGATTTATAAAGAGCAGTCCCCTGCACACGCTCTCCTGCCTGTCTCCATGTAAGATGTGCCTTTGCTCATCCTTCACCTTAGGCCCTGATTATGAGGCCTCCCCAGCCATGCGGAACTGTGAGTCCATTAAACCTCTTTTTCTTTATAAATTACCCAGTCTCAGGTATTTCTTCACAGCAGTATGAAAATGGACAAATACAACTCCCTAGTCAACAGAAGATGCTTCGGATATTTGGCTAGCCATATGCAGAAGAATGAAAACTAGACTCCTACTTTTCACCATATACACAAATTAACTCAAGGTGCATTAAAGGTTTAAAGGTAAAGCTTACCTTCAAAGTTCGTGGTTTAAAGGTTAACTATAAGAATCCTAGAATATAACCTAGAAAACACCCTTCTGGACATCAGCCATGGCAAAGAATTTATGATTAAGTCTTCAAAAGCAATGCAATAAAAACAAAAATTGTCAAGTGGCATCTAATTGAACCAAAGACCTTCTGCACAGCAGAAGAAACTATCAACAGGCCAGGCGTAGGGGCTCACACCTGTAATCCCAGCACTGAGAGGACGAGGCAGGCAGATCATCTGAGGTTAGGAGTTCAAGACCAGCCTGACCAACAAGACAAAACCTCTACCAGAAATACAAAAATTAGCTGGGCATGGTGGTGTGTGTACCTGCAATCCCAGCTAACTAGGGGCTGAGGCAGGAGAATCACTTGAACCTGGGAGGTGGAGGTTGCAGTGAGCTGAGATCATGCCACTGAACTCCAGCCGAGGTGACAGAGCGAGAGTTCGTCTCAAAAAAAAAAAAAAGTATTGACAGAGTAACAGACAACCTACAGAATGGGAGAAAGTATCTGCAAACTATGCATCTGACAAAGGTCTAATATTCAGGAGTTATATACAACTTAAATGAACACACAGAAAACAACCCCATTAAAAATGGGCAAAAGACATAAACAAGCATGTCTCAAAAGGAGACATACAAGTGGCCAAAAACATATGAAAAAATGCTCACCATCATGAACCATGAGAAATGCAAATCAAAAGTACAATGAGATACCATCTCAGACAGTCAGAATGGCGATTATTAAAAAGCCAGTAACAGGCTGGGCGCGGTGGCTCACACCCGTAATCCCAGCACTTTGTGAGGCCGAGGCGGGCAGATCACAAAGTTAGGAAATCGAGACCATCCTGGCTAACACAGTGAAACCTCGTCTCTACAAAAATTACAAAAAATTATCTGGGCATGGTGGCGGGTGCCTGTAGTCCCAGCTACTTGGGAAGCTCAGGCAGGAGAATGGCATGAACCCGGGAGACAGAGCTTGCAGTGAGCCGAGATAGCGCTACTGCACTCCACCCTGGGTGACAGAGCGAGACTCCATCTCAATAAAAAAAAAAAAAAAGAAAGAAAGAAAGAAAAATAAAGCCAGCAACAATAAATGCTGGCGAGACTATGAAGAAAAAGGATCATTTATATACTTTTGGTGGGAATGTAAATTAGTTCAGCCACTATGGAAAGGAGCTTGGAGATTTCTCAAATAATTTTAAAACAACTACTATTTAACACAGCAAACCCACTACTGGGTACATATAGAAAACAAACCTGCCAGGCGCGGTGGCTCACACCTGTAATCCCAGCACTTTGCGAGGCTGAGGCGGGTGGATCACGAGGTCAGGAGTTCAAGACAAGCCTGGCCAAGATGGTGAAATCCCCGTCTGTACTAAAAATACAAAAAAATAGCTGGGCACAGGGGCACGTGCCTGTGATCCCAGCTACTCTGGAGGCTTAGGCACAGAATTGCTTAAACCTGGAGGGACGGAGGTTGCAGTGAGCTGAGATCGTGCCACTGCACTCCAGCCTGGGTGACAGCGAGACTCCATCTCAAAAAAAAAAAAAAAAAAAAAGGAAAACAAATCATTCTACCAAAAGACACCATTATCCATAATAGCAGTGACATGGAATCAACCTAGCTTCCCATCAACAGTGGATTGGATGAAGAAAATGTGGTATACATACACCATGGGATACTACACAGCCATAAAAAAGAATGAAATCATATTGTTTACAGCCACATGGATGAAGCTGGAGGCCATCATCCTAAGTGATTTAACGTAGGAACGCAAAACCAAATACCGCATGTTCTCACTTATAAGTGGGAGCTAAACATCAGGTACTTACGAAGATAAAGTCGGCAA